TATAAGACTAATACCGTATGTCGAATTCTTTGATTTTTTTTAAGCGATAGAGTTGGTTTTTTTAATTCTTATTGGCAAGGAGTCTGTTCATTTTTTTTTTTCTAAAGTATTGTCGGGTTTGTGTGGTTAGTTGTGTAAACTTCTTACAGTAATACGTGTAGTCATGAACCATACCCTTAGGAAAACGTGCCTAATGACGTAGTTACCCGCGGCACCGTACCTCCGTTACGGTCGGACACCCCGTAACGACTCCACAATACCTGACGGGTCCTACGAAGTATCCCGCGGAAATCGATTTTGTTTTAAAATCGTAACAACCCAGATCCCACAGAAAGTCGAAGAAGGAAGTCGTTATGGGGGTGTATAAGAGATGTACCCGGCAGTCCAGTCCCCCTTAAACGTCCGGGTTAGCTCCGTCATTACCGGTACCAGTCATCGTGGTCAAGACCACCTCAAAAACCCGGTTACACCCGTCCACGGGTCTATACGCCTTTTACTTACAGGACGTAGGGTATCTCGGGAAAAGTCGTTCTGCCGCTTCGTACATCTCACGAGGCATTTTTAGGAACCATGTCCAGTCGACGTTAATCCGAGACCTCGGGAACTTACTTTGTGTCACCTGGTTGTGGTCGTTTCGACTGGTACCGAGGGTTTGGGTAGCGACTGTGACCCTAAAGTTTACGTTGAACTTAAACGAGTTTGAGAGGGTCGGAAACTGAGGTCTGAGCCGCGGAACGAAGGTTTAACTTATGTGTTGTTTGAACGAAAAGCAGACTTTTCCTCCTGAAACCTGTTGACACGTTGACAAGGCGACGAAGAAAAGGAATTTCGGCGTTCAGTCTGCGACGAAGCAACAGGAACTCAAGTCATTCACCGAACTGGTACCCTGTAGTGCCGAGATTTTAACATCCGGGGTAAAGGGCCTGGTGCAGACAACTTGTCACTGAGAAACTATGGACCTGAGTTCGAAGTCAGTGACAGGAAACTTCGAGGCTTTAAAAGGCTTGCAATATTTCAGTTGATTTGTAATGAATCCAGAATGTATGACATTTTTGTTTTTTTAAATTGCATTACAGAAAATAAAGAACTTTATCACAATATTCTAATTTTCTGAGACAGTCCTGTATATAGTTATAGATAGAGAGAGAGAGAGATAAAGAGATGGATAGAGAGAGAGAGATGGATAGAGAGAGAGAGATAGATAGTTATAGATAGAGAGATAAATAGAGAGATAGACATATTGGTTAAGCTTCATCACTGTGCGATCAAAACTCACTGTTAACCCTGTGTTCTAGTATGATAAATAAAATAACTTTGTATCTTGAAAATCATTGCATTCTAATAGCGGTTTAGAATTTTACCCGTTGGCGGTTTTAGGTATACAGCGACCCCTGGGAGTTCTAGTGTTAATTTCAAGGTCTTTCTGTCTGAAATAAACCACATTTGGATTTTGGTACAAAAACTATTTAATAACTCTTATACAGTATGCTTGTAAGAAGGTGTGAACAAAAGAGTATTCAATATGCATACTGTTGGGGGGCAGCAAAGGCTGAGTTGTATGCCTTACTATGGACCCTACATTTCCCATGATGCAGGCGTCATTATACAACCGTTTTCACTGGATTTGTCACTTCCTGTGAAAAGGAAATTGGCTTTGACATAACAAATGGTGAAGCCCCTCTTCAGCAAATAGGTCTTTGCTAATACTAAAATAGACTGTAGACTGGCAGCCTTGTGCCATCAGAAGGGAGGATTGTTCATCCTTCCGTAATAAATTAAAATAGGGTCCGGGGAAAGGGGATGGACAGTCTTCACCAGCAAGAGGATTCAAATCATCTCCGCTATTGCCTCATTTGGTCAGCTAGTTTTTCATCTTGAGGGCCTTATACTAATGTTAATACATATGAATTAGAACTGGTATATGTAATACCAGGTTAAATCATCTGGTGCACGCATTTCTTAGATATGCAACAGGTTTTGTTCAATTCAATTCACTACCAATGTGGATTTGATATAGGTAAAATATACATGTAAGTGCTGGGGATGGGGTTTCAATAAATATAACAGAACCCAAAGCCCTTGCCTTGTCTTCACCAGACATGCAAATATTTTCTCTGATCATAGCATGAAGTCTAACATAAAGCCCCTTGAAGAAAAGTGAGACTGACAAATAATTGTATTAAATGTGCAAAAGGGCCAAATGCATAGGGGAGTACCAGAAAGATGTGCAAAGCGCGTGTCATTTTGCATCTCCAAACGGCCGTCCAGAACCATAATACAGATGGCCCAGCAGCCCATCCTTGCCTCCCACTGCTCTGTTTTCATTCCTCTATTTTGGTGATAATGTATTGTCTACTCTACAGGGTGTGTAATGATCCTCGAGAGCAGCCGTATACCACTAACAGGCACTTCTGTCAAACACATCACCATCGCTGTGCTCATTGATTTGTGTTGCCTTTAAAATGGGCTGTTTCCTCTGAGCCGGGCGCTGCTGTAATTGCATCTTGCTTAAATGATTCAAATAAGGCGGTCTGTTGCTCTTACCTCCACTTCCCCTCTATTCATTGTCACTGTCACCCTCACTTATTTCATTACGGATTCAGCAGACTTGATAAAACAGCAGGGGTGACCCATTCCACAGCGCTTAGCCAGCCCGGCTGAGACAAAGAAGTGGTCAAGCGGGGCAACAAATCACACCAAATGGAGCGTTTGCTCTTTGTGCAGCGTAGTTATGGAGAACTGATAGCAGCATCCAGAATACTGAATAGGTGTAATAAATGCTGAAGAAGGGGGATTCTTCTCCTAATTGGGTGAGGGGGGGTGATGGAAGCACCGGCATTCCCCTTTTTGTATCTGGAAATGAGTTCTCTGAAATAGTCTAATAGCCTGTACAGAGTTAAAAGGGGTAGAGCGATCCCCCCCTACCACTCCTTCTCCTCAGAGCTATCCCATCCTGTCTTTGGGCTGACAGATAAACATGTTCTCTGCTAGCTAATTGCTCTACCTGTTTCTACCCAGTCTCAAGTGACAGGCTAGCTGTGTCTACGTGAAGCCTCAGATCTCCTGGACCCCACAATGCTGGAGTAAAACACTCAAATATACAACAGCCAAAGTGAGGCTGAGCAACTTCTGAGGCAGAAAGTGGAGGATTATGTACCTTGAAGCGTACTGTGTAACTTTCCAAATGAGCAGTGAAGTTTACAGCTAATAGAGACAGCTGTCGGACAGGCATTGATGGATTAACTAACATGACAAGTGCGGAGGGAAATATGACAGCACCTGTCTAATGATATCAACGTCAATAAGCAAGACAGAAAATGTAAAAGGTAGCCCAAGAAATGCATATCTTAGCACAGCGAGTCTCCTCCTTTTCACAATGAAATAAAGATGTTCCCAAATCAATATGCAGCCATATACATCAATATACATGTGCTGCAGGTCCTCACAGTATTCCATGGAGGTACCTTTGTGTGAATGGACTGCAAGTGGTCATAAAAGATGCAGGCCCTCGGCTGGACACTGACTCCCTCCAATCAGATGAATAATAGTACAAAGGGCTACTAAATCATTGAGACAGATGCTCTGCTCTGCAGACTGCTCTAGTCCAGCACAACGCTGCTAACAGATCAGTGCAGAGGACATGAGAGACATTGAGGCCCATAATCCTCCAGAGTCCAGACGAAGCCTCTGCTTGGTTTCCCGGAGAGCAGTCAGAACTAGAGATGATTTTCAACCCAAGAGTCTGCGGGAAAAAAAATTCTTATCATTCGGAAGCATCAAAACCGACTCTGCATAATAAAAGCAGGACGTTGTTTCAATACACTGGAAACTGTGGAATTCTTAGAAGTTAAAGACACGCGGTCTTATCGGTCCTTTTTTAGACATGAGAGGGAGGACTAGTGGACAAACTGTCCTCTCTTCTCAGACTCATGAAGATCATCTTGAAAGGGGAATCTGGGAACTGTTGATGAAGTGACCCAAATATGAGGCGAGGTCATTGCAGAACAATTTGATTTGGATGTTAGCTGAAAGAGTGTGCCGTATAGCTGGAAGAGAGATTGAGAGAAAGCATGTTGTTTAAGTAAAACCCTCAAGAACATTATGATTTATTTAAGTGAGGAGAAAATATGAATAATGTATTGGCTATACGGAGCATGAATCTCTTTTGTACTAATTGTCAGGAAGGCTTGTATCCAGTGTGTGAGGGTGGAGGGGCTGGAGGAGCCAGAGATCACAGGGGCGCTGCGGCTCAAAGCCCACCGTCCTACAGCCACAGCCATTGACTTGCAAATGAGCTCAAGGAGTCTAATTAATGGGGGGGCTAATGAAAGCAGTGGTAGGGCTCAAGTGAAGAAATAATCTGGGACCCCCATTTCCCTTTACCCCTCTTTATCTGACTTTCTCTCTCTCACTTCCACCATTCCCTGGCTCGATTGTCCTCTCTCTTTCCACAAGATGGCTTGTGCCATTGAAGTTGATTGCAGAACGAATCAATATGTGAACAAAGTTGTTGGTGGTGGGGTGCAGTGGTGGTGGTGATAGGGGGGTGTTGGTAGAATTAGCATTCATTTGAAGCAACCCCTCACCCCCCTCATATTCTCTCTTATTTATTCTGTAGCTTTTGGCACATTTTCTGGTTCTCCGCTCCCAGGAGGAGTGATGGAGGGAGATGGAGCAGGATGTTTAACATGTGTGACAGGCTGTTATGGTAACTTTTGCACTTATTCTTTCTTGTTTGCACAGGAGAGGGTTAGCCAATTGATAAGTCATAGTGACCTCCTTGGTTAGAGGATAGAGGGTTAAATCTGATTCTGTAACCTGCAGTGGTCTCTCTTTGAAGCAGTGTGACTCCTCAGTGCATGTGGAACTCCCTGTGATTATTATCACTACTACTGCGACTGTGGCTGTTACATAGAGACATTAACCACGGAAAACTGTCTCTCTTAGGCCCCGTCCACACAGAGACGAAAACGAAAATGAACCGAAGTCGAAATAAAAAAAGTCTTCCGTCCACACGGAATCGGCTCAAGAAACTTGTCCGTCCACACGAGACCCGCTGGAGACGCTGTAGTACCAGGGGCGGCGGGTACTGTAGGCTAGGGAAGGCTGAGCCTTCCCAAATATTTTTGTCACTGCATCCTGGTAAAATAAAAATGTAATTTTTATGTCTTTGACATTAGCGCTGCTATGCAGCCACCTGTGCCCTGTACTACGAAGCCAGTTCAACATACCCTGGATATGTTTGAGTAACAAAGAAACTTACAACAACAAACTAACAACAAACTAACAAACGAGATCTCGCTAAGCGGTCCTACGACGCTGGTTATCAACTCGGTAAATCAAGCCATGGTTTCTCTTTCTAGCTGAGAGCGCGTTCACGTGAAAGGGGCGGGGTTAGCAACATTTGACCAATCACAAAC